AAAAAAAAAACCACCAAACAACAAAACAGTACTAAGGACAAATTTCTTCAGTGGAAATGGGAATGATCTTTTAAATGCTACTCTTCCTGATGTAAAAATGTCAGTGGCTCCTGGCTCCTGGATTCTGCGTCCCGCTTGTGCAGGAACTCAATGGAAGTCAGAAGTCCTGAGGTCTTTCTTCCAGTCACGAGACACTGTCCACCAGCTTCAGTTGCTGTTCTGATGCTTTAAAATGATTCAACTTTGGTGAGCGTAGCATTAAAAGAAAAAAAAAAAAAGAAAAAGAAAAAGAAATTAATTATTTTCCCTAGCTCTCTTGTGAAGAAAAAAAAAAAAAATTAAATGTTTACATTTTGCCCAAGGTTTCACAAAAAGACCACAATAAGTATGTCCTACCTGGGGCTTCAGATCAACCTCAGCTGCATTTCAGGCTACAGGAATTGCCCTGTCCAGAAGACTGGCCGCTCCTGTGGCAGAAAAAAGAACTGAATGCACAGCTTTTGTGTTATTGCCCCAGCCTTCCCAGTGTGCCAGTCAGCTTTCCCAAACTGAGCCTGATAATTACAGTGTTGTGTGTAACCCTGACTGTACTGGGAGTCTTCAGTGAAGCTGGACCAGCTCAAACATATATGACACAATTTTGTTCTTACTGAACTGCACAGATTATTAACTTCAATGGAAATAATCTCAGATGCTCTAAAAGTGTCAGAGGACAAATGGCGGCTCCCTCTAGAAAGGAGAGAAGTATTTTGGGAATGGGGCTTGCAGCCAGGCATTCCAGACTCCTCATGCTGGCCTTGGGCAAATTCTGTATCCTTGCTGCCTCGTTGTCCCCATGCAGCACAGACAGAATTGTTTTGCCTTCCTTCATTGTGGTGTGTGTGAAGATTAAATAAATCACCTGAAGATTATGAGCATTAAAGTTACTCTCATTTCATGCAAATATCAGGAGCCTATTGCTTCTAATCACGGCGCTGCCTTCCGATGTTTCAGTTAAAAATTCATCCTGGTAGGATGTTTTCTGCTGCTCTTATGGCTCTGCACTTCGTTGAGGGTTTTCTGATCCTCTTTACTAATTAAGAAACCTTCTACTTCATGTGAAGTTCTAAAGATTAATTTCATACTTCATGGTAGTGAGTCGACATTGCGAAATGCCAGGCTTTACAGCTGTCGGGGCTGTAGAAGTAGTCAGGGCTGAGAGCAAAAGCGCCCTGCTTGCAAGATGAACTGCTAAGCAGCATCACCAACTGGCCCAGTTGCCTGGTTTACAGAGGAAGCCAGCTGAGGCAAGGATGGGCTGGAAACCCAGATGCATCTCATTGACCTGGATGTGGCAGCTGTACCCTACTACCTGTGTTTAACCCACATTCTGGATATCTCTGGATGCGGTTTAACCTAATTGCTGAATATCCCCGCGCATTTTTGAACCCTCTCTCCATGCTTGTGAATACAATGTAAATGAGGCTACAGTGCTGTGCATTACCTGCGTGAAAGCAGGCTTTTAGATCCAGCAGTGTCATAACATAGTTACAAGATCAGACGCGATCAAAAATGTGAAATGACCCTGAAATGTTTTCTGGAGGCCAGCTTGTTCTTCCAGCGTGCTTGAACTTTTACGTTTCAGCAGTGTGAAAGCCAGTTTAGACATGAATTTCTTGTTACAGCGACATCATCACTGAATGATCACAAATGAGCAGTTAGCAGTTTGAAAGCACTCAAATTCTGAAATGTTTATTTAATGGAGCCAGTATCCTAACTAATGTCTGCTACAGGTCAAGTGAAAAAAATGTGATCACAAAATCGGATACAATAAAAGTACATACCAAATGCTACCCTGCTTTCTGATTTTTATGCTTATTTTCACTTTATCCTTGAAGCACTATGTATGAAAGCTCATCTTTATAAACACACACACTTTGTACCACTGTAGTTTCTGTGGTGTGCTACAACTGAAAACCCAGTTTTCCTTGTCCAAAATACTACTGTTTGTTCCTGCAGTCAGACATCTGTGAATGGAACAACAGGGTAAAATACCAGTTTGCCTTTCAACAAACAGAAATTTTGGGACATTTTTTGGCACCTTCTGAGGAAAAGACCACGTATATTCAGGAGCAGTCTGGATGCAATCCTGTGCAATAGGCTCTAGGATGGCCCTGCTTGAGCAGAGAGGTTGGACCACTGTGATGGTTCGGACTTGGCTCCCTGCCAAATGCCCAACTCCCCAGTAGCAGCCCCTCTCTTCCCCTCTTTCTACTTCCCCCAGGGCAAAGGGAAAAAACTATGCAAATTGAAGAACCCAAAAACCAAGCTAGTTATATAAAAAATATATTTTATGTATATTACAGTTAAGATGCTATGTACACAGCAAACGGGAATCCAAACACCCCCCGAAGGGATAGGGAAAGGGGAAAAAGGGACAAAAGGAAATAAAAAGGGACACCGAATAGATACGCGCAATCAAACCCGAGAACTAGTAAAATAACTAGTAAAACAAATCTCACCACGTCCCTTAGAAAGCAGGATTGGCAGACACTGCCAGCACTCTCCAAGCTTCCCCGTGGCAGGTCAGTGGATGCTGCAGGTCTCAGCCTTAGATAAGCGAGACCAACGCAGGGACCCACTGTTCCCGAACTCCGGCGGAAAAGAAGAAGAAGGAAGGCCGTTTCTCCCCTCTTATTTGTACCATGATTTGAGTAAAAATTGTATGGAATACTGGGAACACTGCCCCTTCCTTGGTTACAAACTGGTAACCAGGGAAGGTCTAGATTAAAACCACCACAACCAGATACTCCACTGTGTTCCCTTCCAACATGACCCATCCTGTGATTCTGTGCTGTGTGGCTAAAGCAGCAAACACTGATCACAAGTATGCAGTTCCTTTGCTAGTAGTCCATAAAGATCCACCTGTCTAACTAGATTTTTGGTAAAATGATTTGAGTAAAAAAGAAATGGGTTCGTTGGTCAAAAATGGGACTCCAAAAAGCACCTGACCTTGACGTTCTGCAATATGTAAACCCCACGGGACTGGACATACAGTGGTGTCAGTGGTGATCTTCACTGAAACTTTAGAACTAAACTAGTCCATGTCTCTTGCTCTGAATGGTGTGACAGTCACCATCAGCACTAGTTTTTGGGCAAAAGCCTGGAACCCCATGCGTCTTCCTTGGGAATATGGTAAGTTCAGCGAGGGGCAACTGCGACCTGCAAGTGCCAGCAGGGCTCTGGAGGCACCTGACCGAGGCTGTGAGACGTCTGGACAAGCATGTCAAAGTTTTGCCTCAGTTTGTTGTTGGAAATAGCTCTGTATGGCTTTCACATCATCACACATGGTGGTGAACCCAGGTCTTCCACACCCTTGGAAAGCTTTCTTACCCTTTTCTGATGTTTTAATGCACAAAAGAAATTGGGACTGAAGAAACAGCAGATCTGCTACAGCCAGTGTGACTCAGACAACTATGAATTTCTGTGCTGTTCTGGTGATCTGCTGTGTTTAAAAAAAAAAAAAAAAAAAAAAAAAAAAAAAACACAAAAACTATGATAAAAATTAACAGGGTTTCAATTATGAGGGATGTAACAGAGTTAGTTACCAGGTCTAGGCTTTCAAAAGGAATTTCTGTGGCTTATTTTAGTGTGTTGGGTTGTTTTCTGGTGGTGGTTTTTTTTTTGTTGTTGTGGGGGTTTTTTTGGTTTTTGTTTTTTTTTTTTTTTAATCTTTCTTTCTTGCTGCTTGAGAAAATTCACAGAACAGACTTATGTTATTTAAGAATGCTCAGTGTCTTTTTTGGAAGGAAGACCCAGACTGTGCTACATTACCATCAATGGAAATGAGAGTTAGCAGCCTAATTCGTTTGCAGCAGGGGAGATTAGAGCATATTGTGAATATGCTTTCGGTATATATACTGAGTTTCCCAAGGGTATCTCATCAACAACAACTTCAAAAGTTACTTTTATGCCACTTCCACTCAGCTGACAAGAACACTTGACATTTTGAGAAGGTTTAGAATAGAAAACATTAGCAGTTCGTGTTGATCATGTAACTCATTGGCAAAAACACTACTGTTTAAATATCATGTTCAGTCATCGCTGGATTGCAATCTAATGAGCGTAAAAGATGAGTACTTCTCAAAAGTGACTTGTTTTGTAACTTTTACAGTTACAAACTTGCAAAATGAAGAACCTGGACGTTTACTTCCCCTCAAATACCATTTCCAGGGACAGTGTCCTATTGTGCCTTGGAAAAGCATCTAATGAGCTGTAAATAAATAGTCAAGGTTCTGTGCTTTCTGCTCGGTGAAACCTCAGTGGGAAATTTTCATTATTGTAAACAGAATGAGTAATCTTGCTAATGGTGCAGTGACCACACATGTTCTGGATTGTCTTTGAACACCTCCAGTTCTATGGATATATTTAGCAATTATCAATGAGTAGTGTTCCAGGTAAGTCCTCCAGTAAAAGGAAACGTGATGTCCTCTTTCTTCCAGCTGACATAATTGCTGCTTGACTTTTCCTCTAATTAAACCAACTACTTTTTAGAATTCACTTTGGCATGGACCAGGGAGTGGGATTGCTGATGTCTTTAACTTGATTGTTTATTTAACTTCCCAGTACATAATCAGCTGTATAAAAATGACCTTCCCCTAAATATATCTCAGTGGCTATATTATACTAATGACTGCAACACGCATAAAGCCAAAACAAGCACTTTGCCAGTATCAACAGAAATTATGAAAACACAGTTTGCAGCAATGTATGAATTACTGCTGCCAGCTTGCAGTTCCCAAGTTAACTCCTGATGAAGTTATAAATTGCAACAATGAGGGCTGTTTCTATCTTGGGTCACACTGTGGGCCAATTTCTGCTGTCACAAGTGGAGACTAAAACCTTCACATTTGGATGGCTCTGTTCCTGTCCAACTGAACTCAAGAGTTATCCTTCCAAAAATCAAATAATGATGGTGTGAGATGGACAAAAAGGCATACATGGTAATTTTTGTAGTATGTTTTCAGGCAGTTCCGGTACAGAGGTGGAAGATAACCCGGTGACTCAGTCTGGAAGTTAATGTGCAGTTCAGAGCTTTGTTCACTAACAGGGAGGTAAAGGAAATCTAATTTCAAGCTCCATTGGAAATTGAGGGGAAGCAAACAATATCTGAGAGACAGCAAGGAAAACTGGGATAAGGAAGGGATAGGATAAAAATTAATGAGAGATGTAGGGGGTGGGGGAGAAATGGAATTGTTTATCTGAATCCTCCCTAAATGTCTTCAGAGACTTCATTCCAGACCATGCTAGTTTTGGCTTTTTAAAAACAAATCCTCTCTCTTATTTTAAATAAGGGTATGCTAGAATTAGAAGCACTTATCCAAACCATCCAGGCTTTAACTTTCAGGGCTCAGAAAAAATGGGACCTGGAACTGAAACAGCTTTGGTTTGGCTTTTAAACCAAAACCACCTTATTTTTTTTTTTCCCTGTAGTTAGACTAAAGCCTCAATCAGAGAACTAGCAGTGAATGTATAAAAAAAGCACACAGTATGAGAACAAAACACTAAACACTAAAAGAACAACTGCAGTTTATCTCCTTTGCTCTATGCAGTGCTGACTTAGGGAATACTGGAAAGATGGCAGGAATGTTTCCACCCAGAACTAGTTATGGAAGGAGGCAGGATCATTTTGGGAGCATGAAGCTGTATTAATGTAGTGGGAAGGCTGTCTCCACAGAGTTTCACTGATGTTACATCCCAAATCTATCCGTGATGCATAGCTTGCATCTTGGCTGAGAACAGCTGAAAGTCTGAAACCTTGTCTGTACCCTGTTTCACTTCATCACTTCGATTCATAACTGTGGTAATCTCCTGCCCTGTGAGTGTTTATAGAAGGCTTGTTCTCCAGGTTAAAAAACAAGAATTGCTTTCATTTGTCTGGCTTCTTCCAAGTTCCATCATTAATTGTAAATATATCTTAAAATCTTTTCTTACAAAATCTTTTGTTTGGGAACTTCACTGTTTAGAGGCCTGGGTAGCATCAAGTTTGCCAAAGGCCATGTTGTCCAAGGGGAAGAAGATCCAGGATGAAATGCTTTTCTTCTTTTCCCCCTTGTGCAGTAATGCCTCATCGCTGTTATTACTTGCAAAAGGGATGATCTTTCTATTATCAGTATATCTCCTGTACTGCACTTTCCACATTTAATAGCTGTCAAAAGAAATAAATTTTAAACATGTTTTCCCACAGATGAGTTCGGATTAACTCCCTCTCAATCTCTAAAATCTTCAGGATTTTTTTAAGAGTAATTTGCCAGGACTTTTTTTTTTTTTTTAAGTTTCTGGAGCACAGAAAGCTTAGCTATTCTAATCATAATGCAAGCATTATGGAAATAATACATAATGAGAATATTCCCTATGAAGATATGCCCACTAACAAACAAATTATGTGGAAAAAATTAGGAATATCTTAGAAAAATTCCAGGCAATCTTAGTGCATTTGTCATGAGATAAATCTCCATTTTATGAGCATTCCTCTTGTCCTTTCCAGCTCTTTTCATCATCTTGTCTGCAGTGTTTTGTTAGAGAATGGTTGCAAACTATTTTGTGTTTTCCAGGAAGAATGTGAAAGGGTTGTTGCATCTATCCCTGAAGTGTCTTGGTCAAAGCTTTTACTGGAGAGAATAGAAGTCATATATACTTCAAACACTGTCCTGCACAAGGTCATTTGGATGCTCTAGGACATGCCTTGAAACAAAATTGCAGCACAAAATTGTAAAACCTACCTAACAACAACTTCCTCACCGTGGAAAACATCTGTACAGAACGATGGTTTGTACAGAACAGTGATTCAATATTAGTGTAATTTCCTGTAAGAGGGAGCCAAATTTTAGGACACCACATAGGAGACAAACATCTGCTGACTCACCCTCATCTTGCTTCACATTTGTGTATTACAGTATCTCTGGTCAGCATCAGCCTTGGGTTGCTGCTGACACATCTGTCCTGCTCTAATCACCCTCTGTGGAAGGGGCTTGCACCCAGCACAAGTGAGATGTGAAGACAGGTGAAATGTCCACCTGCTCTTCTACAGTCTTTTTTCCTATGCAGGAAAGTCTGTGGTTTGGGTTATGTTGCTTTGGTTTTTTGGTATTTTTTTTTTTTTATAGTTTGAATTAACATCACAGGTAGACTCATGGGTGGGTATACATCCACTACATATATTGCTCTAAGAACAGGTGGGAATAGTTGTAGGGACTCATTAGTTTTATTGTTCCACCGTTGCTGCCAGAAAATTGCATGCTGCTTTTTCCCCGGCCTATTTTGAACTGGAAGCGCTGCCAGAAGCTTACCCACTGTTTTCACATAAGCAGTCTGTGATCTGAGAGGTGGGAGTTTTGGGGTGGCACATCCCTCCACTCGCATCTCTGTGGGTGAACCAGAGCCATTTGGTTTAACCTGGAGAGGGGGGCTGTTGAGATTCTCCGGGGAAGGAGAGCAGCAGGGGTGGTACAAGGCAGTAAAGTGTGGGATTACCTGATGGCTTACCTCCTCGAGAAACCAGGGTCGCTCACCAGAACTGGGAAACAGTTACTCCAGTCTACGAGAGAACTGACACAGAGAAGAACTGTGAGGAAGGGACCTCAGACATTGCTTCTATTTCTGCCTATCCTCTTTTTTTCTGCTCCAAGTGTTGAAGCGTGCTGTCCTTCTGGCTTACAGCGAAATTTCCACTCAAAAGTGAAGCATCTAAATCTATGATGGTCTCAGGGAACAGAATGTCTTGTGGAAGCTCAGTGTCGCCTTAGCTGAAGAGAGTGGGGGTGTTGGGTTTGGGGACATGTGCTTCTGTGTTGCTGATGTGTCTTGGTGACTCAAAAACCTTCAGGTGTGACCATTCCCAGGGAGTGGAGCGGGTCAGCTTGCTGGGGGGACCATGAGCCATCCTCTACTGTCCCATTTTGGTGGCAGAGGGGCTGGGAGTACTGCCTTAGAACATCATTCATTGACCTGTTTTTTCTCCTAGAAAGGAGAAAAGTTCACCCAGGGAGGATACCAGAGTTTTTGGAAGGACCCCATAGTAATTCCTGGACTAGGGCTCTGCACACCACTGCAACATAGGAAAGACAAAGCTCTTAGAGAGCACTTAGAGGAGGGCAAAGAAGATGGTGAAGGGCCTTGAGGGGAAGATGTATGAGGAGCAGCTGAGGGCACTTGGTCTGTTCAGCTGGAGGAGACTGAGGGGAGCCCTCACTGCAGCTACAACTTCCTTGTGAGGGAAAAGAAGGGGCAGGCACTGATCTCTGCTTTGGGGTGACCAGTGACAGGGACCCAAGGGAATGGCTGAAGTTGTGTCAGGGCAGGTTTAGGTTGGATATTAGAAAAAGGTCCTTCCCCCAGAGGGTGGTTGGGCACTGAACAGGCTCCCCAGGGCAGTGGGCACAGCACCAAGCCTGACAGAGTTCAAGAAGCCTTTGGATGATACTCTCAGGTCCTTGGTGTGACTCTTGGGGATGGTCCTGTGCAGGGCTAAGAGTTGTACCCAATGACTCTTGTGGTCTCTTCCAGTTCAGCATATTCTGTGACTCTGTGATTCTGAGAGAGGAAATGTAAGATGCTATTGGGTCTTGGCCTGAGAGTGGAAGAATATGTAGTAACACTAAATCTAGTTTGTCTCTGTGTGTAATGTTCTTTGTTGTGCTAGATAATTTAGAGAATTACAAACTGCAGTCATGAACAAACAAATCAGAGCATTGCTGCAGGCAGGGGGAGAGTACAATATGCACATGTGATGTTAAATAGTAAATAATGGGATGTTGTCTTCATGGTATTGTGGCCACATGCTTTGCATGGAGGACTTAAACGTTCACTGGAAGTAAAATCCATTAGGAAAGGCAATTGTTGGCCTTATCCAAGCCAGAGCATTGAAAATGGGCTGTTTCCTTCTCCAGGCATTCCTTTTGACATGACAGAAACTCCCCCCACCACAGCTTTAACACAGGAACATGCTGATGTAGTGCTTTCATTTCAGTAGACAATTTTGTATTTTGGGATTTGTTGATGTAATTCTGCTGCCATCTTAGTGCAGACCCCCAATTTGATCTTGAATTTTAGGGAATGGAAAATCCTGATAAACATCCGGGCTGCTGTGAATGCAGAGGACAAAGCCTTTGTAGTAAAATGTCTCTGACATACGCCCGTGAGAAGTGTTTGATGTGCTGTAAAAGACATCTGTCTGAAAAAAAAAAAAAAAAAAAAAAAGTTTTTCCTCTTTGGCTTTGTTGAGCAGACTATGGAAGTAAATGACACAAAGTAACCCTTCTTTTCCTTCTCCTTCTGGCCCCCTTTTTGTTTGATCTTGCGGTGATGTGATAATGGTGAGCCTGTAACTTGAAAGTAGTTTCTGTAAAGACTTATAGCATGAACAGAGGGGGTTTTATTTTCTGCTGCTAAAGTATGATCTAGAGATTAGACCTGTTTAGAGAGAGAAAACTGAGCAGCCTATTTCTTCCTCTGTCACTGACTTGCTGCATCAAACTGCGCAAGTCACTTAACTTCTCTGTGCCCTGGACCTTTGCTGTGTACTGTAGCATTCAGCTCTCGTGCTAAGAACAAATGTTTTGCGGGGCTTAACCATAAATGATTGCCTGTATGCTAATTAGCCTCAGTCAGTGCAAAGAGTGCAAAGTTTATGACACTTGTTTTCAACCTTTACACCAGTTCAGGGGACACGAGGGCTGGTTTTTTATTTAGTTTTGGTCACAGCTTGCGGGGGGGAGGGGGGGAAGGAGAAGGAAGGAAACACTGAGATCTGCAGGGGAGTTGAATGCAATGGCACAGATTGTAGGCTGATGGGAATTTCTGGGCTCAGGGCTGTACTTTACAAAGGATGCTGGCATCAGGGAAGCATTATTACAGTGTTTTATATTGGCCTGGATGAGTTTAAACAACCAGCTGAGCTATTAGCAGCAATGTACACAGTGCAGGCCAACCTTCCAAATAAGTCCTGTGTCTCTCACTGGCTGCACGTGACTCTTGGGCACCGGGATTTTTTGCTGTTTGCTACTCAAACTAGTTCGAATAACGCTAGCTGAGGTATGCTGGCCTCCTCTCACAGCTGCAGTTTGGAGATGGTGCTTGCTCGTGGGCTCCAACTGGCAAATGGAGAAGCCAGGTCTGTAGTCTGCCAGTGTGCCTGCATCTGCACCAATGCACAACCCGCCGAAAAGCAATCGGCTGGCCGAGCCCTCCAAATACCAGGGTAAAGCTGTGTCAACAGTTGTCTCCCTGACAACCCTGTGAGCGCTCTCACACGTGGAAGAAACTGGTCAACATCAGTCTAGAAGGAAAAAAAAAAAAACTTGTGGAAATCCCTCTCCTCTCTAGGCAAGGCTGCAGTTTTGCCATCCTTAAAGAGAGAAAGATGTCAGGAATGTCCCATTTTGTGGCAACGCTAGGAATTTTATCTGTGAGTAGATGCAAAGGACACGTGATTAAATCAGGGGTACAGGAGCAATACAATGCTATCCTGTGTGTGAAAGCAGGCTCACACCAGTTCTGCATTTTGTATACAGGCAGCCTAAGAGAAGAGTCTCTCTGCTGCAAATGTCTGCAGTCTGTGTCCCTGGAGAATCAGCTGGAGTTGAAGTAAACTTTCAAATGTTGCATGCTTCTGTGAGGGAAACAGGAAAGCTGCCTCCTCCCAGGGTATCAGGGGGGAAACCCAGGAACAAATACATTAACAGGCCTTGTATGGTGAAATGTGCTATATTATTTTTATTCCGATGCGCCTGAGAAAGAAGCAAACTCCCTAAATTTCCCAGCGTGACAGAGCAAAGCAAACCCCATGAATCCCTCCAGCAGTTGCAACAGTGTTCTTCTTGCCCTCTGCCCTTTGTCCTTCTAAGGAAAAATGTTGGGTGGCATACAACATTTGAAAAGTTAATGATAGGGTAGCTGTTAAAAGCTAAGACTTGCAGCTTTGGGTTGCAGGAGCAGACAAACAGGAGGGCAGCCTGTTCATACCACATGTCTGAGAGTACCTTATTCAGGGAAGCACTGGCAGACTATAAAGTACTCTGTTAATTATTGTTGACATTGCATAGAGAGCTTCGTGCTGTTCTTTCTCTGCCTGCTTTGACTTAATTTGTTTGAGAAAGTACTTTTTCTGTGCTGCAGATTATGTAAATTCATATACTCTACTGCACTGACAGATGTGTCTTTGTTTTAGAAGGAGCCATTATTTTTTTCAGGGCTGAGTGTGAATGGAGCATTTCACATTGGTGGCTTCCAAAAATATTTATAAAGTGAAGCTGAGCAGCTCAAAATATTTTGCCCTCCTACACTGACATTCACAAGCCTTTATAGCAGTGTTATCAAAAGCATTTGCAGTGGAATGTGCATGAGTCGGCCACAAAGACTGGGTTAGTCAACAAATGACTGAAGGCACACATTTTAGTCAGCTCTCCCTCACACGGTGTGTAGCAGAACCCAGATAACACAACTGGGCAACAACAGGGCAACTATTCCATACTGTGGGCAAGAGACTATCTTATAATGATCCCTCACTTTCACAACTCCTGCATATCTGAGGAAACAGGATGAAGAAGTAGAAAGTGACCAAAATTCCCCTTTCTTCCTCTTTCTGCCAGTAGAGCACAGTTTGACTGTTCACTGACTGCCACAGGCAGTGCTTGTTCTGAGGCTGGATAGCTGCTCATGACTCTGATAGTCTGGCTGTGAGTAGTGGCATTGTCTGCCCTGCACATTTCCATTCCACTTCCACTGACCAATGCCGAGGTGTCCTTCAGCTTATCCTCCCACTCACTGGTGCTTCCTGAGTATGCCGCTAAGAAATGAAGCATGCTGCATTCACGTGAGTAGAGAGAAATGCTCCCTGCATAAATGCATCAGACTTACTCATAAGTTTCACTATAAATTAAAATTACCTCTCTGCCAATCGAGTGTGACGATTTCCACAGTCTTCACCACTGTATTGAAACCATGGTTCCCCACGTATTTCTTCCCCCAAGGAGTCATCCAAGAGAACTACACCTGCAATCAGTGCCCTCCAGCTGCAAGCAGAAGAGAGTGACTGACTAACTTCATTAGCACAGGGAGGATAAATGACACGCAGGGATTTGAACAACAAAACCATATGTATTCCCTGCCCACTCTCACCTTCGTCCATTTCCATCTTTAAATTTTTTAAAGTATATAATACATAGCAGCAAGTCCAAGGAATTCTACTTATAAGCCCGCTCCTTTGGCTTTGGTCAGCCCATCCCTGTCCCAAGGAACGGGGAGCACTGGGGCTACATAACCACAATGAAACACTGATTCTCCTCACCTGGCAAATGAATAGAAAAGACATTTTAAACAGTGTGAAGTCTCTCTAACTGGATTAGTATAGCTGGAGCTCAACAGCAGGAGGAGGGAGGGTCTGTCCTACAGAGTCCTGCCTTCCTAAATATGAGCTTGAGATGATGAACAAAAGGTGAGCTGTTTTACTCAACAACGAAAGGAACTCCAGCTAATTCCCCTTCTTCATTTTTTAGCAGATAAAATATCACTCTAGTATGCCCAATGATTGCACCCTGGGTAGGATGTTATTTCCCTTCAATGGGTATAGAAGTTTCTTTCCTCATAATCCTTGCATTGTTTGGACACAATCCTTTTTTGTACATTTGCATTTTTCCATTGTTAATGATCATTTTTTTAATTGCTGATGACTGTGTGACCCTTTTGTTGTCTATATGCAGTGTTAATTCTGTGGTATTTAGGCATGTCAAAATGAAGCCTGTCTCAGCTGAAGATGATTTTCAGTGGAGATCAGTCGTGGATTTCCTTCTTTTTCTAGTTAAGAGCCACATATTTTGGGTTTTTTGGTGCATTTTGGAGACTTGTGCATTGAAGTTACTTCTCAAACTTTGAAATAGGAAAGAATTTCACACTTTCAAGCATGTATTGCCAACTAATTTCTATCCTGTTTCTTATAGCTTGCAGCAGGTGAAAAAGCAGTAATGGGTGACAAAAACTGCAATAAAAGAAAGAAACATGGAGAACAGTAACAGTAGATATGTGTGGTGTATACCATGAAGTATTATTTTCTGTTAATGAACTTGTAGCTTAATTTAAAAAAAAAAATAACCAAAACAAACAGCAACAAGACAACAAACTCAATTTTCCCCATTGGTCAGCACAAAGTAAGAGAATACTTATAATTTTGATTAAAATATTATTAAAGAAGCTACTCCTGTAGTATTTTGTGAACTTAGTTTGAACAGAAATGAGATACAGAGTTTGCCTCTAAATGTAACCATGGTGAGGGAAGCGGGAATTAATATGACAGATCATTTCAGACTATCTGAAGAACTGGGTTATAGGGTTGACAGGGGTGTTCTTCTGGCACGAGGTAGCCCTCCAGATGAAGGGTGACATGTATCTGTGCAGAAGGCATTTGCTTTTGATGGCCAGGCCACGACTGTGAAGTAGGCTTCCTCTCCTCTGGGACTTTATCTCAGATTTCACCAGCTCCTACTGCGAGTGAGGAGCACCTTTCTTTGACCTTGGCGTTCCTGGCGTTAATGTTTGGGAGCATGCAAAATCTCAAAACAAACACTCCTCTCCTCGGGGGAACAGATAAGCGAAGCAAGCACGTGACAGATGATAGTGACGTTAATTAATGCATGACTGGTTCGCACGTATATTCTGCTCTCACTGAAGTTTATGAGTGGCTGCGGAAGAAAAACAGGTCACGTAATCACACCGAGGCGCCGGATGCATTAGTGAGCAGGTACACAAGCTTGACACAAACACAATGTTTAAAGATGCTTGATTTCCCAAGAAAGCCCCGAGCTTGCATGCAGAAGTCTTGCTAGAGCTTCCAGGCTCTGCATAAACTCTGTTTCAAAAAAAAAAAAAAAAAAAAAAAAATCACCTTCCACCCAAAAAAAGTACAAATGAGGTTTTGCAACCGGCCCATGAAATGTTCATCGTCGCATTGCAACATGGTGACTCTGTCTTGAGAAAGCCTTTTTTTTTTGGAGAACATTGCTTGGGGTTGCATGCTTGTGCTCGGTAGGTTTATAGCCCCTTGTGTGAACCACCTTTAATTGAGAAGGGCCTTGCCACTGTCCCCCATCATGTGGGGACAGCACACAGGTGTGTAATATCCAACTGCATGGACAGATAGGAGAAACAGGAACTGGACAAACTGGTTATAGAGGCTTAGTTAGGGGCTCCCTGGCGCTGGGTCTTGTTCAGGCAGGCTATGAAACCTGCTGCGACAGAATGGCTTCCACTGGAATGGGCCTTGCACTCTCTTTTTTTTCTTTTTTTTTTTTTTCTTTTTTTTTTTAATCTTCTCCCACCCCTAATTTTTTTTGTCCCAATCCCTTCTCCCCATTTTCATATATAGCGTTCTGTTTGAAAGAATACACTGGCAGCGCTGAGCGCCGCACTGGAGGGAGGCCCCGACTAAAGCGGCTCCAGATGTGGTGGAGCTGGCCAGGCTGTGTGCACCGAGGAGCAGAGCCTGGCTCTCCGGCTGGGAGCGGGCACCCATGTGCCAGGCGACGCACGTGGCTGGCTGCCACAGTTACTAACCTAGTATTAACTGCATTAATCGTGGGCATAAACAGTGCGCAGTGCCAAGCATGTCACAAGCTGATTATAAAAGCCGCGGTGTGGGCAGAGTTTCAAATTGTGCTTCACTTTTAATTTCCAAGCGCCTTTCCCTGCCCCCTTCCCCACCCCCCCTCCGAAATTCCTTGAATGTGTCTGTGTGTTTACGAAAATACAAACGTGTACCGGAGCGGCGGGAGCTCCCAGGTTGTAAATACCACGAGTGTACCTGTGGATGGCTGGGAGGGAACTGTCCGCAGGCGCCTGGAGTCGGGGCGGGAGCGCCCGCAGCCCCCGGCGAGGGAGAGCCCCTTCCCTCTCCCCATCCCTCTCTCTCCCCTGCCCCCTCCCCTCCCCATCCCGTCCCGTCCTGTCCCGCTCTGCCGCTGGGCGCAGCTGACCTACTTTTTCTGCATTTCTCCCCACACTGCCCAGACCACTCCCACGCACGGGGCTCGGCGGCTTTTAACCCTTCGGAGCGCAGCAGCATCAGCATCAGCATCCCCTCATCCCGCTCTGGTCCCGGGGGCCGGGGCCGAGGGGAGCAGGGGGGAGGTGGCGGCTTTGTCGGGCCGTCCCTGCAGCACCACCCATGGCGAGTGTGCGGACCGCATCCCTCTGGGCCGCGATTCCTGCTCGCTCGGCTGCTGCCCCAAGCTGCCCTGGGGTTGGTGTCCACTCGGCCGCCAGTGACTCTCCCCCGCGATCCTCTCAGTAGCGAATCTTTAGCAAAACAAAGAGTGTTTCGAATTTCAGTGAAATTCACAGAAATGGTGCTGTTGCCGTCTCTGCGCGACGCAGCCCCACCTTCCTGGAACGGCACAGGTCATCAAAGCGTTTTGGAAAGGCTCTGCCCTTGGTGGCTGATGCTCTGGAACTTTGTCTGGGAAAGGCTGTATGATTATGGTGACAACATTCGTCTGGCGCAGCTTACACTGAGTGCTGGCTTAGTGTAAAGAGCACATGTTAAGTGCTTTGCATTTGGCCATGTGCTTAAGAGTGGTCAAATGGTGCTCAGTGTGATATTCAGCTGGTAAATTTTAACTCGCTTTTGGATTGTGATTTACCTCTCTGAATTTCTGCTGGAACACTGGGGTCTCTTTTGCTCGTTTTAGAAGAATGTTAGAGGAAAATCCCTTTAGCTGCACAGAAGGCTGAAAAGGGAGAAGATAATGCTCCCACATTTTAAAATACAAAGCTCTTCCTAAACAGGCCAGAAGTAAAATGTGTTGGAATTAAAAATTTGGCTTGAGTGTGCACCTTTTAGGTACAAAAATATTTGCTTATTTTGAAAAGTTCTTTCTTGGTTTTAGCAAAGGTTATTGGACAACTACAGAACTTGTCAGCAAAGCATTTCCTCAAGTATATAAACATGTCTGAGTATACAAACAAATTGCATTCAAGTACATGCAGATAAGGAAATGGGCAGTTTTCTCCTGAAAAAGTTAAAGCTTCTGTGATGCAGCTAGAAAAACTTGGAACAAGAGCAGAAGTGCTGGGAAACGAGTTTCTGGGCAGCATGGATTTCGTAGGTCCAGGACCAATGGGCGACCATGGAATAATCAAGCTCTGTGGGCACTCTGACCCTGGAGTAAGGCCCAGGGGTCACTCTTTTGGCTGTGTATTGCTGAAGGATGGTGGGAATAGGCAGTGGCCCCTGTTTGTGTCCTAGAGGAAGGCTACTCAAAACTTCGGTGAGAGCATTCTGTGTTTTGAGAGTGCACTATTTTGTGTGCTTAGCTGTGCTCCATTGCTTTAAGATGTTTCCCACTGAAGATATCTTGGATGCCAGTGGTTGCTGGCCTATTTGTAACCTGTGTTTTGCAGAAGTTTTATTCTGAGTGTGCTAAGTGGAGAGTTGCAGGGATATCTGGGCATGATCTTCCCCCTCCCACAAAGGAGGCACCTTCAGTCAAGCTTTGGGCTATCTAACGGTGTTGGATTATCCTTAGCTCATGTAATACTGCCCTGCTGTTAAGGGTAATAAATAAATCCCCTACTGACTGTCAGATCTTTCAGCAGCCTGGATAGGAATAAGTGCTAGGTGTCAGTGAAAAGGCCGAGGCCCTTGGCCGGGCTTTAGGGTACTGTCCATGAGATACTGGAGTAATTCCTGGAAAAGTAGGATTTGAAAAAGCAGTTATAGGTATTTGTTTATTGAATTGGGTCAGGGTGCTGCTGCTTCCCATCTGTCTTTCTCAAAACACAGAATGAATATTGGGTTGCAGATAACTGTGACCCAGAAGTATCAATTAAAGGGACTACTGGGTACAACCAAGGACAACTCTCTACCTCCTTTGCAGTTGTCTCTCAGCAGCTATCCTGGTTAACAGATGGTTCAGTCAGTGTCTGTTTCTTTTTGTGTTTGTTTTCAAGCAGCTGTATACAAGTTGCAGTGAACAGGAATGTGCAGGGAAAACGAATTTGCACTTCACACAGGGAGTAAATTTTAGGTGTCCATCCAACCAGAAAAGTAAAGATTCTGCAGAGTAATCTGTAGGCAAAAACCTCTCAGCTCAAATTTAGTGATCAGTTTACTATCACAAAGTGATCTCTAGTTTTCTTTTACAAACACAAATTATTTTTACATCATTAATGATTAAGTCAAAAGTGAATAATGACTGCAGGAGTTGGTCTTAGTGACAGAGTTCATAGGATAAACTTACTAAGGGGAATTTTTTGCGGGTTTTATGTTAACCCAGAGAATCTGTGGTATGGGAAGTAAAAGTGATGTTGAATGAGTGCCACCAAGTGTCTCCTGCAGTATATGAAAGCCCAGGTCTTAAGTGGAAGAAAAAACAACATTACACCACAAAGTTTTGTAGTTTTGAGAGGAAAACATCTCAGAGGCAGCAAATTCTGTCAGAGTGAGAGAAGTTAAAATTATTATTCCACTGGAGATCTGAAAAAGGTAAAATGTCTGTGGTAAGGGGGGAAACACAGACATAATACTGAGTATCCCTCCAGTTTGTCTACCTGTTCTATTTTGTGTATCTTCTGAGTGAGTGCTCGACATTCACACTGTGCAGTATTTGTGGCTGCGCTGTGTTGTACCAGATGATGGTGTGATACAACTGTTCTATCCTGAGCAGGGCTGGCAGGTATCACAGGACCCAACATAAGTTACAGATTTGGCAACTGACATCTCCACTCTGGCCTTCCCTCTGCTGCTGTTGATCCCAGTGCCAGCCATATCAATAGATGCAGTGGGGGCAAGGCCGAGACCTGTGTGCACGAGACTCAGAGATTAAACAAACAAAACAAGATAAGTGTTGTCAGATGTCCTACAAGATGGTTTCATCCCAGGTTCTCTGTAGATTAAAATGTTCTGATGGATCTTTAGATTTTCACCTGAGTGTGACTAAAGAAGGAGGATTTATATCAGTCTTACAATTTTCGGAATGTCAGTTGGTTCAAGCAATGTTCTGGTGAAACAGAAGAAGGGGAAGAGGCTAGGACAAGGGCCTAGCCAAAGAGACTGCTTATTGCAGGGTTCTGGTAATGTACTTATTTGGAGACGGCAGAAATGTTCTAGGTCAAAAGTATGCTGAAACCTCCATACAGAATTTGAACCTTTTTTAGCTGAAATATGTTTGCATACAGATAAACTGATCAGTGCTGTGATGGCACTGCACGGAACCCATTAAACTTGGGGGAGTGCCAGAGAGCAAAAGAGAGCACCAGACAGTTTGGGGAGTCTGGGCAGTGAGTGAGCAGCAGCAGAGTTTCTCCGTTTAATCAGCAGCCCATTGCATCTACCAGGGCCTTTCCACAGAAGTTAATGGGTGAACAGCCTCCTGCTGGCACAAACTTTCCATTGTAGCACTCTCTGTCCTGCTCTGTTTTACTATTTCACTGAAAATTAACTTGAAAGAGTCATGTTTGCCACTATCTGAGCACACTGTAAAAAACCCTCACCTTTGAAACCGTTTGTAACTCTTCTTTGCATGATGAAGGGTGAAACTGTAAAGCACAGAGACAGAAATCGATGTAGCAGCCTTGAACTATTTGGAAGGACTTTCACTGTTTGCATGGGTGATGTATATTTTGTGGTAGCCACGGTGTCCAAAGGGGGCAATGCTCAGGTCATTTGGTCTCACTACATGTGAAATTTATGCTATTGATTTGGTGTTTATCAGTATGCAGGGCTTTCCAAGCACCACTGCATGGTGTGCTGGATAACTAGACTGCCCTCTGTGTGTGGATAGGTAAGACAAAAAAAATGTGAGAAGTGCCTTTGTAGGTTCATATACATGCCTAAGCTATGGTTTAGTCAAAACTAAACATCTATACAGAACACTGAGTAATTAGCTGTCCTTTTCCTCTTGTGTCCTTGCCAAGCACAATAGACAGAGTTATCAGTATTCTTGCCAGTAATTCAACTATTATCTCAGTTTAAAAGTATTTCATTGTTTCTAGAACAGGTTTTAATGTACTGGAGAAGATTCCTGTCAGGCTGTGCTATCTGGGCACGATCTCACCATTCATACAAAAGGAAAAATAAAAACTTCTCTGAAATGTCCAACATCACTACAGCCCTAGAAGCACTCTTGGGTGAACTGAATGGGCGCAAGTGGCAAACTAAAAGTGTTGCCAAGAAACAAATCCAGATGCTTCCAGATCTTATGGGGATAAAAAAAAAAAAAAAAAAAAAAAAAAAAAAAAAAAAAAAAAAAAAAAAAAAAAAAAAAAAAAAAAAAAAAAAAAAAAAAAAAAAAAAAAAAAAAAAAAAAAAAAAAAAAAAAAAAAAAAAAAAAAAAAAAAAAAAGGAGACACACACCAAAGCAGACCAGAAATTTCCAAAAGGAAACTATTAGATAGATATTTTTGTGTTAGCCAACAATGCTAGTTTACTAAATAAGGAAATAATAAGGAAATAAGAGCTTTGAGACCCAGTACAATTCATAAAGATGAATGAGATGGTTCTCCAGAGGAAAAGGTTTGCAGAGGACCTGAACTCAAAGTAAAACTTCTACTTTAATAATGTCCACAGAAAGCCACTTAAACAATTTTGTGACTATTATCCCATGTTTTTCTTAATAGAATTGTACCTTTAGATATCTTCTTAAAATATTTTTTTCCCAAACCAAATAGGAAAATTTTTTTATTACAGAGAATTATGTTAAAATGTAAAAATAATTTTAAATAATTACATGACACAGAATTTCCCTCTTCCGACAATGAAAATATTTCCATTTTTAGCTAACAGCAACAACTAAAAATGTTTATTTTATTGAGGACATCTTTACTAACACCACTCTAATTGATGCTTATACAATTTCTTTTGAAGTATTTCAGCTAAAGGCTTTTGGAGTGGACTCTGAAATACTGATTCATAGGGAAGAAGATAGTTATTTTGACTTTTTTTTACTCTAAGGTTTATTGTACCTTGCTTTGACTGTAGGGTGAAAAAAGTTGGCATTCTTCAAAGAGCAGTTTCCTTTTATTAAAACCTGCAGCCAGAGAAACACAGCTTTCATTGTGCTTTATGCTGTCTGAGTCATGTTCTCAATGGATGATTGATCAACACTTTGTCA